AGTATCATCTAATGACAATTCATTATTCAAGTAGAAGTTTGAGAGATGCTGTAAAACAAGACCCTGAAGTTCAGCTAAGTTGGCTCTTGCTTGCTTCATCAAAAAACTTTGCCCAGTGATTCTTCTGAAATAACTCTGGGCAAGCCAGTGTCCATCATTCATTGTGCAGGTATGCTGGCTCCTTTAACTGCCAGTTTTGTTCTGCACTGGGGATAGGAACAGGGTTTGTCCTGTTCTCAGCTCTGGTTGTGTTGTCCTTTCTTGCAGAGAAAATCAATGCCTTGTTTGCTGTACCCGTCGCTCGGGCCCTGGTTTCTCCTTGGCACTATGTGTGAGCAGGTTAATAGGTTCATCTCTGCACTGGCCAGGCTGGCCAGGTGACTGTGTCTGTGTGGACATGCTGTTTTTGCTTTTGCTGCAGCTGTTTTTGCAAGGCCTCTGCCTCATTTGCATTTTTCTGTTTAAAAACAGTGAGTTTTCCCTTTTGAGTCATCTTTATTTTTGAGACATCATTAATTTTCTCTCCCTCCTTGTTTATTAATAGACCTTTTCACTTTTGTGCTGATTCTGCCTGGTTATATTTGTAAAGTCCTTTGTATTCCCCTTAGCATTCTGGCTGTTAACTCCTTCTGCTGGTTTGTTGTCCCTTCCCTCTTCTGTGCCCCCCTGCAGCTGCGAGGGGACACTATTGACTTTCAAATCATCTTCCTGTCTGGAATGTTCCCGTTCTCTTGTTCCAGGTATCTTCTAAGAGCATCTATTCCAGGTGTCTCCTAAGAGTATTGCAAGTGAAAGGCACGATTGAAATCTCAGTGCCTTTGACGTTTTTGCCACCTCCTCACACAGCCAGTGTTGTGTGGCTGCTGGAGAGCTCTTTCTGCTAGCAGCAGGGGACAGGCCGCCTTAAAGAGCCGTAGATGCAGCTCTTTGCTCCCTGAATGCTTTGCTTTGCCCTGTACCAGTGGCTGTGTTCATGCCTTTGCTCTGTCTCCACCAGGTATCCAGGTCCTTTCCTGGCCCCGTTGCCTGCTGTTGAGCCAGGTGGCCTGGGCTGGAGCTCTGCTGAGAGCAGGAGAGGTGCAGGGTAGCCAAAACCTCTGACAGTCCTTGCCCGGGCTGCCAGCGGCTGCTGTTGTGCAGTTGGTAAGTGTGCCATGGCACGTGCCTGGCATGGGATGAGTCCTGCAAGTGGCAGGTTCCCCAGTGGAGCTGTTTAGAATCTCCTTGTACCTGCCTTTTTATTAATCTTGTTATTGTAGTTATTTTTTTCCCCTTCAAAGAGCCCAATCTGCTGCAGGCTGTAAAGAGTGACATTGTGGTGTGCGAGCTGCATGCCAAGGCTGCGTGAGGTCCCCCAAGGCTCCTGGTACCCCAGTATTGCCATCCCTGTTCACTGCCAAGGCTTTAAGGTTATCTGCTCTATTGATGGGAATATGGATTGAGTGGAATTAGAAACCTCGAAGGCTAAAAATACAGCTGCCTGCCAGGAAATGCAGCAGCCTGCTGAGAGGGTGCTGTGTGGCACTGGGACTTCTCCAGGAGCTGCCATGTTCCACATGAGCACCACAGCCCAGCATCCCTGCCTGTTCCCAGGTTCTCTGAGCAGGACTGTGGCTGGCTTGCTCTTGTTTGTGGGGTCCTTCACTTGACAGGACAGGGAGAGAAGACAGGGAGAGAATGCTGCCCATGTGTGCTGCAGATGGTTGCTAGAGGAGAAGCACAGGCTGGCACCTGAGCGGGCAGCTCCCTGAGACCTCACCAATGCATACCATGAGCACAAGCTCCCTGTGAGCAGGGTGTTCCTGGGAATGGTGTGAGAGAAGCCTGTGCCTTCAGGGAGCTCTGGCTGCCTCCTGGCTGATGATCCAGCACCCTCCTGGCCATGCTGGGCTATGTTGTGCTGGGCTGGTGGGCTTTATGTGGCAGACAGCTGGGCAGCACTCCCATCACCACTTTTGCCATGGTGTCATGGCCTTTCCTGTTTTGTGTCAGAGCACTGAATTGTTTTGCTAGGCAGGTCCATGAAACAAGACAGCATCTGGGGCTGCATAGGCTTTTTTGGGGATGCACTGCTCATTGCTGCCTGTCTTTGTGGGGCAAGCTTGGTCCCAGACTCTGGAAGTGGTAGGGTTGCCCTGCCTAGTGTAGTGTGAATGAGACCCAAAGCCAGGGCCATTGCTCTGGCTCCCAGAGCATGAAATTAGTTGGTGCTGACCCGTGGCTGTGGCATTGATGAAGTGTTTGATAGGCTGGGGGCAGGGGCTGTGCTGCCCTGTGGGGAAAAAACAAAGCGCTGCAGCATCCCTGCCAGTGTGGGTCACCTACCACCCTGCCATGCTTCTTCCCAGGCTGCAGGAAGCAGCTCTTCCCCAGCAGTGTGTGGCAGGCAGAGGCAAAGCTGTGTAGGGAGAGGATGCTCCCAGCACCAGCCGTCTGGCTAATGCTGCACCATCTGCTTTGGAGGGTGAGGCAAGGTGAATGGCAGGTTTTTGAGGAGCCCATAAATCCTATGTGCAAAGGCTCTTGGAGGTGACATGGGATCTGCATGGAGAAATGCTGCTTCTGGTTGCTCCTCGTGCTGGGAACTGTCCGGAAGGAGAGCCTGGGGAGATCACTGACCCTCACAAGACATTCAGCAATGAGCCATGGCCTGGGACTCTTGGGTTTGGCTAGGAAGAGTCCTTCAGCAGAACACGCTTCTGTGCAGTTGGAAGCTATCTGTGGTTGGAAATGGTGGTGCCAGGGGGGCTTGCAGTGCCCCCTCCCCTCTGGCACTCGGGCTGCCACTCGCTGAGAAAATGTATAATGCCTCAGTGTTGAAAAATGACTAATCCAGTCCTTGGAAGGTTTGTAGGATACATTCCTTTCTTGCGGTCGATAAAGATAAAGGGGATCGTTCTGCCAGCAAAATTAGTGTATCAAAGAGGGGGGGAAAAATGACAAGAGCTACGGAGACAGAAAAATGGTTGGGGCAGCCCTGGGATGATGCTCAGCATCACCACAGCACCCGTGCCTGCACCTCCTGTTCCTGCCCACCTTCGCAGCATGAGGTGCAGGCACAGGCACCGCGGTCACGCTAGGGGTACTGCCCTGCTGGGCTTTTCCAGTGGTTTCCAGAGAGCCATGAGAGACTCATCTGTCATGCCAAGGCAAGGGTCTGTCCATCCATCACAGAGGGGATGATGCTGTGTGGCATGGGCAGCCCCAGCCACTTTCCAGCCAGCGGTTGGCCTCCCCTCGCCTTGCTGGCACCACTGCTGCTGTTGGTGAGGGGCCACGGGGAGCGTTCGCGCCTCGGTCAGGGGCTGTGTGCAGGGGAGCCTAATGTACCGGAGGTGCCTCGGAAATGAGAGCCTTGGATGGGTTCCTGGCCCTATTGATCTGCCGGCAGTTTATGCATCCTGACATTCATAATCTCGGTCGGCGCTGATGGTCCAGATTAATGGGCCCAGGGGCTGTCCATCCGTCACTTCACATTAATTACTGAAGAGGTGTTTTTCCAGTGATTTACCTGACAGCGGCCTGTGATGAATCCCCCTAAACGGAGTGGGCAGTGATTAATCATGGGGCCCCAGCCCAGCCCCACTCTGCCTTCCCCTCAACCACAGTGCAGCCCCCCGCACCATCCGTCTCCATAAACCCTGTCTGATGCATATTTATAGGGGCAGGGGGGCCTGGCCGCTTGTGGTGTGCCTGCTTCTGCCAAAGATGATGAAAAATAAATCTCTGTCGGGACGGGGCAGCAGGTGAGCAGGGCTGCATCATGCCATGGTCCTGCGCCAGGGTATCCCTGTGCCGGGGTTTGCTTTCTGTTGTTCTGTGGCTGCCTCAGGCTTCTCTGTGGTTTTTGATGGCTGAGTAGTGCATGGTCTCGGTGTTCTGCTTCACCTGCAGACACTGGGCTCGAGGGTCCCAGGTAGCAGCTGCCGGAGTGGGGCAGGCGCCCCAGTGGTTCTGTCAGGATTTCCCCCCCAAGTTGGATGTGCCCCACCAAAGGCTGTAGGGCTTTGGGGTGCTCTGGGCCCCAAACCCTGTCTGCAGATACGCTGCTGTGGGGCCGTGTTGGGGCTGCACAATCCATCACCGTGTGCCAGTTGCTGAGGGAGCAGGGTGAGCACTGGGACCCCGAGCCAGTGACCTGGGCAGGGGCTGCTCCCTGTGCTCTCGGCCGTGGGGCTGTTGGGCTGTGGGCAGGACAGTGACGCTGTTCTCTCTTGGCAGGCAGGGTGGCACCATGCAGCAGGAGGCGGAGGGCGGCCGGGCGCGCCGCAGGAAGCCCGACATGGCCCTCTACGTGCCCAAAGCGCGCCGGGAGAGAGAGGCACGAGCGGCAGGGGACACCCGGGGGGCCGGGCACTGCCGGGAGCCCGAGAACCACCGGCTGCTGCAGGACCCAGCCTGGGCCAGGGGCGAGGGACAGAGGCCAAGCCCCCGAGCCAGAACACAGGCAGGCAGAGCGGCAAGGAGGGAGGACAAGGTGGATGCCGGCCCAAAGGAGCTGCGGACAGCCTCTGCCAGGCACAGCCATAGGACAAGAGGGAGCTGCCCTATTGCACTGGAAAGCCTAGAGGCATCACCCAGCGTGTGTGAGCCATGCCCAGATCCAGCTGTTTCTCAGCACTGGGACAGGCAGGACAAAGTGTCTCACAAAGAACCTGGAGAGCTCAGCCACAACCACAGGGTGATAAGGACTGAGCCTGACCCTCCATCCCCACAGAATGCCCAGGATGGGGCTGTGAAGGCTACCCCCGAGTCTGGGGATGATCCCACTAGCCCAACACCCACTGCTAGCCCAGCACTGGCTTGTCAGACAGGCCTGAGTGGCATGTTGGAGCACTTGGGGGACAGCACCCTAGATCCAGCTGAGGACCTCTCCCAAAGCCTGGGAGAGGCTGTCCTGCAGTCAGCAGGGGTGGGCAACCATGGCAGGGTGCCCCAGTTGGTGGAGGAGACAGTGGGTCTGAAAGCCTGGGAGGAGGAGAGGGAGGAGGAGAGGAAGGAGGAGAGGAAGGAGGAGAGGGAGGAGGAGAGGTCTCTCCTGGCAGAGCAGAGTGAGGGTTGTGCCAGTGGGGTGCCAGAGGAAGAGGAGATGGGAGGCAGAGCTGAGGTTCCTGGGGAGAGCACCTTGTATGCACCAGGAGCCAGCTGTGAACCTGTGTTCCTGGGGGGCAGCATGGGCAATGTTCCAGGGCTCCCAGGGGGGAGCACTCCACAGCAGGGCACGGGCAGCCCATCCCAGCTCCCGCCTGCCATGGAGGAGAGCACTGCTGGTGCTGGGGATCCCAGAGGGGAGGGTGACCTGGTGCCTGCTGTAGTGGAAGCAGGCAGCACTTCTGCCTGCACAGATAGCAGTGCTGGATCTGAGAGCAGCCCGTGGGAGGGAGCACCTCTGGAAAGCTGTGAGCCCCCAGTGCTCCTAGAGCAGCTGTGCCATGGTATAGAGGGGATCTCACCTGCATCCTGGGCCAAGGAGCTGGCAAAGCCAGATGAGGATGTGGGCTCGCTGCAGAAGCACCAGGAGGCTGAGAAAGAAGAGAGAGGTCTCCACAGCAGCTCCCCTACGGAAGGACAGACCAGTGCCAGTGCTGAAACCCTGAGCCAGACCAGCCCAGGTGCTGAGGAGAGCTGGGATGTGCTGTTCAACGATGATGGGGACTGCCTGGACCCACGCCTGCTGGAGGAGGTACTTCTGCAAGCCAGTGTTTGTGGGGATTGGCAGGGCTGGTGCCTGCTGGGATGTGGGGGATGTGTTCCTGTGTTCTCTGGGGTGAGTGCACGGGGTGGGTAGGCTGCACCCAGGGCATGGCCAGCCTAGCTGCCTGTGCTGCCTGCTCTTAGAGCCAGCCTTCCCCTGGGATCTCCATCTTCCCCCTCTGTCCCATCCCATCTGGTGTTGCTGGGGAAGGCTGGGGTGATTGCCCCTCTGTAGTACATAAAGTGTGCCCAGTAAAACCTGCTGAAGTGCTGTAAACTGCAACTGCACCCTCATGAAACCAGGGCTGGTGATAAAGAAACGGGCTGAGATGTATGGGATCCCATTGAAACAGCAACGGGATGTTTCCTCGAAACTATGGCTTCTTAATCAGCTGTGGCTCATTGCCATTCCCTCCTGCACACATGCTGCTGAATTTACTACACTTGGCTGCTTAGTGCCAGGATCCACACCATTTTGCTGCCATTCACAAGGAAAGCTCAGTTCCTGCAGCAAGGCTGGATATCCCTTATTGCATTTTAAATCAGTAGCGTCAAACTGGTAATTTTCCTGAAGAAACAAACAACATTAATATTGTTACATCCAGCGTCTGCCTACCCCTGACTGGAAACAGGGTGTGAAGTGATGGGTGGTGCCTTGATAACAGCATCTATTAGATTAACTCAAGAGCACCTTACTGAGGGGCACAGATCCCACCTTGTCTGCAAGGCCTTGCTTGGGCTGATTTTCCTCTTGGAGCCTGGCACAGTGCTGAGACAGTGGGACACAGAGGGCTCACATTTGGGGGATGTGGAAGGGTGTTGGGTATTCCCATCATTGCATGGCTGTGCTCTCCTGAGCCACTGTCCCTCACCCTCCAGACTGGAGATTGTGGTGAGTGCTGGTGTGAGGAGGACAGCACTGCTGCTCTGAGACAGCTGGTGCAGGTGGCACTGGCTTTCTGTGGGCTGATGCCACGGGCATGGCTTTGTCCTCAGGGGAGGAAGGTCAGGGAAGGTGCAGCCACAGGATGCTGTGAGCAAGGCTGTGCTGTGCAGTGCAGGTTCTCACTCCAAGGAGTATCTGTATTGGCTCCCCTATGCACAAGCTCTGAGACAAGTTTGAGCTTTCCAGGGAGCTTCCCAAAATGGGTGAAAAAGAACCTGAAATAGGGATTTATCAAAAGTTGCCTTCTTTGTCCCCTGCAGATTCCTACATGGCGCCTTGTGCTTCCTGAGCCCTCTGAGCTCCCAGCAGGTGGATGTAGCTGCTTGGGGAGGGCACAGGCTCTTGGGAAGAGGGAGCCTGTTGTTAATTAACATGAAGAACAAGAAAATTAGTAGCGTCTTCCTCGAAACCGAATCCTTATGCAATGCAGATAGCTGGCAGAGAGCAAGATTTATGACGTTCTGTGCGGAGGAGAGATTTCTGATAGCGGATGGCTCTTTAATCTAGCAGGAAAAAAACACCGTAGTGAGCACCATTGGCTGGCAGCTGAAACCAGACAAATTCAGAGTAGAAATCAGTTTGAACACAGAGTAATTAAGCACTGTGCCTGTTTCCTTGCGGGCTCTGTGGACTCTCCATCAGGCGGTGCGGCATGGCAGGGGCCGCGATGTGTGCGTGCCCAGGGCTGTGGTGTCAGCCAGCAGCCACACACCCCTCTGACCTGCTGTGGTAGGACTGTGTCTTCAGAGACCAGCGAGATGTGATGGACAGGCTTCATTTTTGCTGTTGTCTGTCTGTCCATCCATCAGTGAACCCTCCCCAGGATGCCTGGCAGGGCTGGGAACCGCACTGTGGCTCCCACTGGCTGCTGTGCCCCACAGCTGGGGAGATGCTGGCACGCTGTGTGCTGGGCAGTGCTGGGCTGGGCTGGGCTGGGCAGGGCTGGGCTGGGCTGGGCTGGGCTGGCAGTGCTGGGCTGTGCTGGGCTGGGCTGTTCTGGGCTGGGCTGTGCTGGGCAGTGCTGGGCAGGGCTGTGCTGTGCTGGGCTGTGCTGGGCTGGGCTGGCAGTGCTGTGCTGTGCTGGGCTGTGCTGTGCTGGGCAGTTCTGTGCTGGGCAGTGCTGGGCAGGGCTGTGCTGGGCTGGCAGTGCTGGGCTGTTCTGGGCTGGGCTGTTCTGGGCTGGGCTGTGCTGGGCTGTTCTGGGCTGGGCTGTTCTGGGCTGGGCTGTTCTGGGCTGGGCTGTGCTGGGCAGGGCTGGGCTGGCAGTGCTGGGGGACCTGTTGAGCCGTGCCTGCCGCGTGGCTGAGCCCTGCTCCCAGACGGCTCCTGTCCTTCCTGCCCTGCCACACTTGGTGATTTGTGAAGGTCAAGGGCTGCTCCGGCACTCTGTGCTCCTGCTCTCTAATCATCCTCCCGCTGCCTGGCACTACCTGAGTGCTCTGCTCCCTCAAGCAGCACTGCAGGGCTTTATCCTGCCTGGGAATGGCTCCCTTGCTTCCCCGAGCAGGCGCAGGGTGCCTGATGAGTGTGCTGCCCTGCACGGGGGTGATGGCAGGGCAGGAGGCTCTGCTGGCAGCTCTGCTCATTCCATGAGCTCCATAACTCAGCTCTACCCTCCACCGGCATCCAGCCGCTATGGCAGCACCCCCTTACCTGCCGTGAATCCATCTTCCCCATAAAATTGTCGGAATGAGCACTTTTTATCGACTGAGCTGGCTGGGATTTATGGACTCTAACCTTGCAGTCGTGGTGTGCTCTGCTATGATCGCTTAGGGGATCGGGGTGGGAACCCGCCTGAGTTATGTACCCATTTCTTGGCATCACACCAGCCCCACGCTCCAGGGGAACAGGAGCTGTCAGTGCCTTTGGACTGCACCTGGCCTGGGGTCTCAGCTGAAGGAGGGCAGTGAATCCCCTTGGCCAGTGGCACAGTGTGGTTTGGAAAGCAAGGATTCAACAAGGGATGCCAGGAGGCCCACTGGGCAGAACAGGGTGCAGGGTGACCAGCTGGCACTGGCAGTGCTGTGGGACACAGGGAAACAGGGGCTGGATGCACCCTTGTGCTGTGGCAGCAGGAGGCTGCTGCCTGTTTTTTAAATAAAGGCTGTAAAGTGTGCATGGTAGAAAAGCTCTACAGCCATCATCTTTTAGGGCTGGAGAAAGTGCCCCACTGTGAGGTACTAAAGCTGCACAACCCATTTTATCAATAGGAAGATTGAGAAGGGACTTGATTAACATTAGTAAGTGCTGTGATGGGGAGGAGACCAGGGACTGAGGGTTCTTTAATCTGGCGGAGAGGCAGAACAAGAACTGCCAGCTGGAAAGTGAAGTCAGACAAATTCAAATGAGAAATAAAACATTAATTTCTAGGTGCACAGGTGATTAACCAGCAGAACTTGCTCCTCAGTGGAGCACTGTCTTTTTCATCTTGGCTTCTGGGGTGCTGATTGGCTGCTCCAGTGCATGTGCTGCAGCCGGGGCGTGCTGAGCCTGGTGTTTCCATGTAGCAGAGAGACATCAATCTTTCCTCCTGGCCTTACTATCCTGCTCCTTGTTCTTCCCCTAAGGTATTTCAGGTCACCACATCACTGTGGAAGGGGGGGTGTGCTTGGAGATGCATGTTCTGTTTCATCCCTGCCATTCCTACCATGTCCCTGACTTGGCCACCGAGCATGGCAAGTGAAGGGATGCTGGTAATGGGAAAAGCAGGTGCCTGGTGTGAGAACCCTGGCTGGTAACTCCTAATTCTCAAAGCCATGAATCCATCTGCAGTGCTGGGGTGGGGTGCAGGGGCCTGGACAACTTTCTGGGGAGCAGTTGCCACGGGTTGGGAACTGCTGTGAGGCAGGTGGGCATGGGTTGCTCAGTGCTGTGCCTCTCCTACTGCTGCAGCTCTCAGGGGGTGAGAAGCACCAGGAGAGCCAGCAGTCACCCCGCTTCAACTACTATCGGGCCGAACCTGCTGCTCCAGACATCAGCGACGATGAGCTGCCGCACGTCATCGAGATCTACGACTTCCCCGCGGATTTCCGCACCGAGGATCTGATGCGTGTCTTCTGCAGCTATCAGTGAGTCTGCCAGCACGCTGTCCCTGGTGCTGGGGTTCCCTGCCTGGGCTCTGCTCCACATGCCTGCCCATCAGGTGCCCGTGCCTCGCTGACCTTCCCTCTCTTTGGCAGGAAAAAAGGCTTTGATATTAAATGGGTGGATGATACGCACGCCCTGGGCATCTTCTCCAGCCCCATAACAGGTACTGCTCCTGGTTCAGCTGGGGATGGGCAGAGAGGAGGCATCCCTCTCCCACAGCCAGATGCTGGGCGTGGGGCTGTCCCTGCACGTGGACATGCTGCTCTCTTCCTGCAGCACGTGATGCCCTCAGCACCAAGCACCTGATGGTGAAGACGCGCCCACTGTCCCAAGGCACCCGCGCCTCTAAAGCCAAAGCCAGGGCATTTGCTGGTGAGTGGTGCTGCCCTGTGCCAGCTTGTGCCATCCTGCTTGTGCTGCAACATCATCCTGATAATTGGGGAGGGCTGGGGCAGCCAGCATGGCTCTACAGCTGCCCTGTCCCTCACAGAATGCCCCAGTAATGTCCCCAATCTTCACAGAGTACCTGCAGCCAGCCAAGGAGCGCCCTGAAACATCAGCTGTCCTGGCCAGGCGGCTGGTGATCGGTGCCCTGGGGGTACGGAGCAAGCAGACACCAGCCCAGCGAGATGCAGAGAGGAGGAAGTTGCAAGAGGCTCAAGGTGAGTTTGGAGGGGCTGCAGTGTAGGGGGCCCTTCCTCCTGTATGCTCTGTCTCACAGGGTGCTGGGTGAGAGGGGGCTGCAGCAGGGTGGGCTCCGGCCACTTCCACAGGGAGGTGGGGTGGTAGGGATGTGGCATTGACCCCCTTGTCTCTGCAGAGAGGAAGCGCCTGGAGAACAAGCAGCGGGAGGATGCCTGGGAGGGCCGGGACTGAGCCAGGAGGCTGCACTTTCAGCCCATGTCCCTCTCTGCAGGCGGGCAGAGCACTCAGCGTCTCAGAGCTGGGACAGATTCTGCACTGTGTCCAAAAGCACTGGGCTGCTTCACCGAGAGGGCTGAGCAGCATGCAGGCTGGTTGGTGCTGTGGGGATGCTGTTGCTGTCAGGCAGCACTGCCCACCCTGCCCAGGGCAGAACCCCCAAGGCTGCCAGCCACAGCAGGAGCAGCACCAGGATGCAGGGAGCTCAGCAGAGAGCATGGGGGGCTGTGTGAGGTGGCCCTGGCCACCTGGAAGGGCCTTGTGAGTGAGAGTTTCTGTCCTTTATTTTGCTAATAAATGCCATTTATTTTATTTGCTTGCCTGGGTGGTGGCTCCCCGTTCCCTTCATACCGGGGCAGGGTGTGCGTGCCGGGGGCAGCTGCGCATGGTCCGCGGGCTGTGGGGATGTCCACCCCTCCCAGGTGCTGCTGGTTGTCCCCTGCGGCTGTGGGGGATGTGCAGGCAGGAGGGGTCGGGCAGGACGGCAGGCAGGAATGTGCTGGCAGCAGCCCTGTTTACTTCCGCGGAGCAGCTGCAGCCCTGAACAGCGGGGCCCTTGTCGGAGCATGGGCAGGGCCGTGTTCCCGGCCCCACATGGGGCTCTGATGTGGCCATGCTGCCAGCCATGGCAGGCTGGGGGCTTCCTGCCCTGCCCCCGGGTGGAGGCTGGCACCTGGGACCTGCCTTTGGCTCTGCTTTGCATCATCTCTCAGCACCTGAAAAACTGCTCTGTGTGCCCCAGCACTCCCACCCTGTAGCTCTGCAGATTCTGAGGTTTTGGGGCCTTTCACAGGAGGTGAGGATGGGGATGATGCTTTTCTGCCACCACCACCAGCAGTTTGCAGTTTGCATGCTTTTGGTCGCTGAAGTGCTCATGTGGCTGCCCCGTGTCCCCTGGCTGTCCCCCAGCTTGGCAGCAGCAGAGCTGGTCATGACCCCATGGTGGTGGCTGCCTGCCCCTGCGCCATCCGGCAGCGCTGCCAGCTGGGAGCCATCTCGGCTGCCGTTCCCGGATGCTCGTGGCTTGGCCAGTGGAAATTCCAGGGAGCAAAGCTGCTCTCATGTGGAAAACATCTTCCCGGCCATCCGGCATCCCTCAAAGCCCCAGCCTGGCCGGGTGAGCCTCCACCAGCACGTGCCTTGCCACGGTCTCTGGCCTCGGGCCCCTCCAGTGCATCCCCGTGTTCCCAGCAGCAACTCCACGTGCAGGGACCATCACGTGTGGGTGCAGCCTGACTTGTCCTGGGCCGAGGTGGGTGCTGGCAGCCCCCCACCCTGGGCTGGTGCCTGCCAGTGAGGCAGGAATGGACACAGGTATGCAAGGAGAGGGGTGGCACTGCCCCGTGGCTGGTGATCTGGGGAACAGACAGTACAGAGTGTGTTGGTGACATTCCCTTTTATTTCCTGTTATAAGAAAAAAGATAGAGACCACGGGAGGTAAGAACCAGAGAGCAAGAGCACAGTGTTCCTTTGAGGGACAGAGTGGCCCTACCACAGCTCCCATGTCTGGGAAGCTGCCAGGACAGCCTGGGAAAGCCCAGCATGTCAGCTGCATTCACTGTGGCTGCTGGGCTGGCTGCCAGCCCATGCTGCCACAGAGCTGGTTGGGTCTTTTTGCATGCACGGGATTAGCCAGTTCAGGGCCATGGGGACCACTGATGGCAAGGCAGAGCTGCTTGATGCCAGCCACGTGCAGACAGCCAGGGAGTTGGTGGCCCTGGGTGTCACAGAGGGAACACTGCCTAGCTGGGGACACATTGCCTAGACCAAATTGTTCCCAGCTGGGGACTGGCTTCATGATCCTAAGAGGAATGAGTGCAGGGAAAAGAGGAGGTGATGGTGGGATTGATAAAGGAGTAGCTCCTCTTCTACAGTACAGTACCCTGCTCCCAACTCACAGAACCTTTATTGAAGACAGGGCTGGTGCATGGGTGGCTGGGTACTGTCCTGAGTCTGCTGGAGCAGGGGGGCTGGGCAGGCTGAGGTAGTTGTCCTGGGGGCCCTGGGGCTGTGGGGGTGAGGCCTGCTGCAGTACTTGGGCCACTCTTTCCAATCCCGCTGGCAGCACGGGCACCCCCAGGCACTCCCCGCCACCCCTGGCGCTCATCTCCCTCCTCTGCAGCAGCATCAATAAATACACAAGTCTGCAAGTCCCTGAGCTCAGTAGGGTGCTGCCAGGGCACAGGGGCCAGGGTGCAGGAGTCGGGCTCTCCCGTGGGACCACGCCAATGGCAGGGGTTCACACGAGGTTGTTGGCCAGGCGCTCCCGTCTCTCCATGTCGCTCACCACGTCGGCACCGTAGGCATCACCTGGGGAGAGCGATGTTGTGGGGGTAGGTGTGCGTGTGGGGGCACAAGAAACCTCTGGCACCCCCAACCTCATCACTTCCCTCACCCTGCCTGCCATAGCCCCTAGGCTCCCATCCCTCCTTACTTGTGTGGCAGCCATGCATCCAGACACGCTGCCCATCATACTTGCACTGGCACCTCATCACGTTGTTGGAGAAGTCCGACTCAGCCACCTCGTGCTTGGGGTTCACGACCACCTGGGGAGGGCAAGGGGCAGGGCTGGAAGCACCTCTGCTGTGCCCTGGCCAGGCAGGGCTGTGGCACGCACAGCAGGGTACAGAGCAGCACCCTGATGTGCAGGGCGAGGGATGCTGTTGTGCTCATGGAGGGGACTCCCCAGCCCTGAGATCTGGTAGGCTGGTGTCCCCCACCCCTCCATCCCCATACCTGGAAGGTGTAGCTGCCTGGTGGCACATCGGTGATGTCGATCCACTGGCAGTCGATGTCATGGCGGTAGGTGTCCCAGCACCCCACACTCACCCCCTGCTCACCAAAGTTGGCACAGGCGAAGCGTCGCTGAAGACCTGCAGCAAGGAGGGAGGTGAGGGAGGCACAGGCTCCCTTGGGGAGCAGAACTGGGCCACTGTCAGCTCTGCAGCTGGCACCTACCTTCGGGGCAGTTGGTGTCTTCCAGGCAAAAGCTGGCCTTGTGCCCCTCGGCCACCTTGGAGCCATTGAGTGTCAGCAGATCATAGTGGGTAAAGACCTCGATGCTGTGGAAGTGTCTGTGGGGACAGGGGCTCAGCACAGGGCCAGTGCCCGGCCAGGGAGCACGTGGCTGTCCCAGGCAACCCCGGCAGAACTTCCGGCAGGGCAGCACCCAGGGACTCAGCAAATTACAGCCCTGAAGCCAAATAAAGCCGTAATGACAGTGCTGGCTCAGACGCTGTTAATTACCCCGGGTGGGATGGGTGCCACCATGCCCTGCCTGGCCCAAGGAGAGGACAGCTCCCTGCCAGCCCCTGCCTATGGGACACTCACCGGTGGCACTGGTGCCAAGTCCAGGCATGACGCCCCATCCTCGGTCGGAAATCGGCTCTTCCCAGGTTGTGGATCTGGGAGGAGAAGCGAAGAAGGCGGCGGTGGCCGTAGGGCCACTGCATGTTGTCAGCAGAGCGGGAGAGGCAGCGCTCCTCATGGGCACAGTACAGCAGCCCCAGGGGCCGGTCCTCCAGGTAGGCTGTCTCCTGCACCAGCTGGGCGTTCATCACCAGGTCTGGGGCATCTGGAGGGCATCAGCAGGGATGGAGAAGGTGATCCCCACCCTGCATAGCACCCCCTACTCTCCTCCAGGAGAAGGGGGGTGCCCCCTCCCAGCAGTACCCCACGGGCTCCTGCTACTCACGGGCAGTGCAGGTGACCCCTGCTGAGAAGCGTCCCCCGCCGCTGGGGCAGTGGACAGGGCCATGGCGCTGGCACTGCTGGAGGGCCAGCTCGGTGCCGGCACAGCGCACGCCGCTCATCACAACCTGGCTGGCACCGGGGCTGCCTGCCCAGTACCACGTCTCCTGAACAGAGGAGGAGCACAGTGCTTGGGCCAGTCCTTGCAGCCCTTGCCAGTACCCACCTGCCTCCTCTCCTGCCCTAACACTGCCACCACTGCCCCCACTGTCCCATCCCAGAGTCCCTGGCCACACCACGCCCACGCTGTCCATCCTGCAGGACCCCTGCAGTCTGGCCCCAGGCTGGTACCCCACTCACCTGGAGGGCATGGCTGGCAAAGCCCAGCCCCAGCTGCCTGCAGACCACCATGGCCTCGTTCAGGCCCCACTGTGCACCACACACTGCACCCCACTGCAGCTGCCCCTGCACTGGCACCAGCACCTCCACCACGCCTTCCTCAGGGTTGCGGCCCCCAGCCAGTCGCACCTGTTGGCAGAGAGGGGCAGAACTGGAATGTGGCACAGACCAGCAGCTCTCCCACCCCATGCTGCAATGGGACAAGCAGCCCTGCACATCCAGCTGAACATCTCCCTCATCTTTCTCTTCCTCCTTTCCTCCCTACAAGACCAATTTTGCCACCAGATCACCCTGCAGGGCCCCATCAGGATGCTTCTCTGTGTCCCCATCCCCTGGGTCACCCCAGGGCTGCTCTGAGCACCCACACTGGGCATAGAGCCTGGGGAGCAGGGATTGTGCAATGGGGCTGGGGTTCAACAGGTCCTGGGAAGGAGGCAGGGACTCACCTGGCTCTTGAAGTCCATGTGGGGCATGTGGCAGCGGACAGCAGCGTCAGCCTCGTGCCGACACCCATTCTGCTCAGCGTCCTGGAAGCGACACTCGCCCAGAGAGCGCTCATGGCCAGTGCACTGCACATTGCTCATATGGATGGGCCCCAGACCTAAAGCACAGGAAGGGTCAGTGCTCCCTGCTCCATGACCATCCTGGAACAGGACCTTCATCCTCCTTCCCCTGGGGTGGGCATTCTTTATGGGAATGGGGCTGCCCATGGCAGGAGCAGACAGGGTAGCCTCATCCCAGGGCAGGCTGGAGCTGCGTGAGCATCCCAGGATTCTCCAGCAGGGCACATTACACCAGTTGATTTCCCCATCATACCCCTCCAAGCCCAGAGGTTTCCCAAGCCCATGCTGTAACACCTGCCTCACCTTGTCCCATCCGGGCTCCCACCAGGGCCTGCTTTGCTGTCCCATAGCCCAGCTGCCGGCACACCACACTGGCTGCAGCCAGGTCCCACTGCTTGTCACACACCGTGCCCCACTGCCCGTGGCGCAGCACCTCCACCCGGCCCTCACCAGCGTGGGTGCCCGCTCGCAGCCGCACCGGGAGCACCTGGGCACGGAGAGCAGCCGGTCAGCAACCAGGGCACAGCCAGCCCCCCCCTCAAGTGCAAATGGGGTGGCTGAGTGCTGCTCAGCCCTGGGACTCTGAGGCTGTGGAACTCTGCAAGGGCTCACCTTTCCTGGGGCGGTCTTGTTCTTGCCCTTGCCCGTGCCCTTCTGGAA